GCATTACATTTTCACAACACCACCATCTATCGAAGAAATGGGTTAACTATTGTGTTTCAGATTTAGTTAATAAGGTTAATATATTTTTGTATAATATATTTAATACGTTCTTTAATACTTTTGTTTACTGCGTTTTAGATATACATAATTATATCATTATTTTACATAATTTAACTATGATTTATGATATGATATTAGTTTAAAATGCACTTGATGACTCAAACAAAGCCACCGTTGAGCAAATTCGTACCTATACTTCCCTACCCATACTTCAGAATATTTATCATAACTTTTGATGGAATGAACTGATTTTAATGAAATAAAGACTAAATGTAACCCGAAGATACACTTTATAATTTCCTTAACAATTCTTATGATATAAATTAGTACTTTATACGTGATACGTTAACAAACAAACAGACAGACAGACAGACAGACAGACAGACAGAAAATTCTAAAAATGGTAGAAATGTATTTAATTACTTATTTTTAGTACCCCTCAATCACTTTTATTACAAAAATATAAAATGTACAGACATCTGCTATTTACAGTTTTATTATATGTATAGATGACTAAATTTGAAATGCTTTTCGATATAATAATAGGAAATATACATGATTGTTTTATTGTATAAATCTATTTAACATGACTTCCATCACACGACAAAAATCATATTAACTACTAGCTGTGCCCGCGGCGTAGCTCGCGTATATAGATTTTACATAAAGAATTTGTCGTTTAGGTAAGAGAATATTAAACGATTTATATCATTACTGTATCAATAAGTGGTAACAAATAAATCATTATCATCAAAGTTCTAAGTAGTTTATGATAGAGCTTCGGTGTAAACGACGTTAGAAGTAGACTTAGACGGGGTGTACACAAAAAGGTTACGGGGGCTACTAACGCGGGAAAAAGCAACATAGAGTTGGCCATGTGCAAAACAGTCAGTACTGAGGTCCACTCTTACAACGCGTAAATTTTGACCTTGCGCTTTATTTACGGTCATCGCATAACACGCGCTGACTGTAACTGGGAACTGAACGCGCTTAAAACTGAAAGGAAAGTTACTTCTTAATAGAGGGTTTTTTGGCAGTGCTGCCAGATCAAAAAAACTCATTCAGCACTAGGACAACACAAAAAGCGCTAGATTTCATTAAAACAGCGCCTTAAAAAGCCCTAGATTTCGCGCTAAATTAACTACAAACAAAGTTTGTGTTTTTTATTATAATTTATAATTCAAGAAAATATAATCATAATAAAGAAAACAACATTAAGTTTTTTTCTGGCAATATGTTTTGATATATCAATACTTCGCAGGACATCGACTTATAATTATGGCAATTGCTGTCAACAGTAGTTAGTACTACTCTAAGTAACTTTTAACTTAACTGTGCTCTAAACAACTGACTAAAACTGAATAAAGCAAAATAAATGCGTTGCCGAAACCATGAACGAAAACTTTAATGAAGGGGATTTCCCCGCTTATAGTCGTCGATAAAAAAAATCAAGTTGATCATCCTAAAGGGGAAGCCGGGAGATCCATAGCACAGGGTATCCTAGTTTGGACTCGTCTCCCATGCTCTTTGTTTTGTGGAAAAAATATTTTTGAAAAAGATAAACTGCAATGTACTATTTGTGGAAAAAAATAATAAAGGTCATTATTATTATTATCGGTAATGTGGACTAACAGTGCTGCTATAAAAGAGTTAATAACCCGCTAGTCGCTACAATTTTGAAATGTGTGCTAAATACACCAAAAAGCGCTGGATTAAGTGCTAGGTGCTAAAATTTCGAAATGCGCGCTATACATTCCAAAAAAGCGCTAAATCTAGTTCCCAAAGCGCTAAAATGGCAGTACTGATTTTGCGTATATTATAAATACAATATCACGACATTTCGTTGCAATTTTGTTATTTTTATTCGGGTTCCGTTGTATGGCTTCGATAGATACAAATTTCTTCAGTAAGTCTCAATACGATTCATCGGCGAAAAATCTCAAAACAGCAAATCAGAAAAGTTTGTAATTTGTACAACTCCATCTATTACGTCCTTTGTGTGAGAAAACATCCTTTTTTAAATCTCTTTTTATGTTTTAAGTATAAATATATTAATTATTATGGAACGTTTTTTTTACACACAAATCTTTTTATTACTATTTCTGAGATTTTTATGGCGCCATTGAACAAATTCGAACCTACATTTTAAAACAATAATCATTACTTTCGATAGAATTAACCAATTTTAATAAAACAAAGATTAAATGTAACTTGAAGATACGCTTTATGATTTTCTTAACGATTTCTTTGAAAAAAGAAAGATGTTTTCTTTAGACGTGATGCATTCATATAAAAACAGACAAACAGACAGACAATCAATTCTAAAAATTATAAAAATGTACTTATTTAATTATTTTTAGTTCCCCATAATGATTTTAGTCACCAAAATATATATACAATGTACAGAAAGAGACACAACATGTTATAATCATTTTTATTATATGTATATATTTAAAGAGAGATGGCGCTGCTAACATCAACTTGATGACTCAAACAAAGCCACCGTTGAGCAAATTCCCTACCCATACTTCAGAATATTTATCATAACTTTTGATGGAATGAACCGATTTTAATGAAATAAAGACTAAATGTAACCCGAAGGTACACTTTAGAATTTCCTTAACAATTCTTATGATATAAATTAGTACTTTAAACGTGATACGTTAACAAACAAACAGACAGACAGACAGACAGACAGACAGACAGAAAATTCTAAAAATGGTAGAAATGTATTTAATTACTTATTTTTAGTACCCCTCAATCACTTTTATTACAAAAATATAAAATGTACAGACATCTGCTATTTACAGTTTTATTATATGTATAGATTTACGCCCCTTTAGTGTCATGAAATAAAATATTTAATTTCCAATAACTAAGAATCAATTCAAACAGCAGCCACTTTGGTTGCCACCTTTGTGGCATGACGTCACTCGGTTCATTAGCTGCTATAACAATAGCATATTATTGATCAGTCGGCGTTAAAGACACATCGAAAAACGCCAAATCCAATAAGAGAGCGCCTCTATGTTTTTAAATTCGTTTCTATTACAAAAATTCACTTCAAATCTAAAATATTTTAGGAAAACACTGCACTTAAAAGCCGTTTCACGATTTTTCACGTTTCATCAACTGCAGTACTTAAAGACACTACCCACATAAATAAAAGTTGTTATTTAAAGTTTTTATCTTATGTTCTAACTCAGGCTTAACCTACAACTTCTTGCATCTAATACAGTACAAATTGTTTTAATGTAAGAAATATATTACCCTCTCCTATCACTGTAAGCGAGGATCTATAATGGCTTTGTCCTTGAAAACCACCATAAAATGAAGCCCGGTGTAAAACTACCAGACAATGAAGCCTGGTATGTAAAAGAGAAGACTTGCTGTATTGCTAAACATCAACACAGCAAGTATCATCAGCATGCCTAAAAAAATTCCCACTCTTGCTCCACATAAAGTAGGCTACTTAGCATAGTTTGTATATGCTACTCATTTTTGTTGGTATGGGTACAGTATCTTTGACTGTTTTACCTCCTTAAATATTGTAAAGGATTAAATCGGTATGCTGCATATTTTTTTATCTATAATCCCAATCGATAAACGTCGTCAATCACTAACTTTAAAATTAGTAACTAAATAGTGACGTTTACTGGATAACAGAGGGAGCTTATTACAATAAAAATAAATGTTCTAGAACAATCTACTAGAAATAATAAAATTTAAAGATTATTCGGTAAATTTATGCTATATTTACGATAATAAACCGAAATCACGTTCATTTTTTGCTCCATATCGTAACTTACAATATATTAGTGCACACCCGGGCATATTTTCTTTAAAAATATTTTTTAAATATATGAAACAAACGCGTCTTGACTTTTTGACGATGTCACTAAGACTAAATAACAAAAATCGGAGATATATCCTATAGAATATAAGTTACAGACGACAATTTTGATAGTGATGTCCGGTCTATTACTACTACTACTTAAATGTCTTTGATTTTAAGCTTACCATCAGTGGTCAAAGGGAATATTAGTAATGTTATAACATTAATAGTATTTTATTCCCAATAAAAAATCCTTTTTTTTTTGTAATACTGAAGTGACGTTGGAAACCTGTAGCCAAATTTATACAAAGAAGATTACAGATGCGTTGTCACCCATGAAGACTAAGATGGAATGACTTACAGCTTATGACTATACTAGACTATCTTTACCCTTCATACCGAAATAGGTAAGAGGGTGATATCCACCCAGACAGACTCCTAGGTAAAATAGGAGACCTACCACCTAGTATTAAGAAATAACTATCGTCAGTAGCCTAATGGCAGGGCGCGAATCGCGATCTCGAAAGGTCGTGGGTTCAAATCCGCCATTCGACTACTGTCGTGAACCACTTCTAACACAAGCATTTTAAGCTTACCAGAAGTGGTTAAAGGGAATATTAGTAATGTTTTTAATAGCATTGCTAGTATAAAAAAAAATATGTTATTAATCTGAGCTAGAGGTTGGTTTATCCGGAGCCTGTAAGTGAATCTAAGCCGGAGCAATTTTTGCGCATAAACTATAACTCTTCGATAGATTCAGAGGTTGCTTTTTGACCTTTACGGCAATTCATTACCTACATAAAATTTACAGTCTGTATATGTCCTATTGCTGGACATAGGTTTTTTTCCATTCCTGAGAGATTCACATGAAAATAATATAACAATAATAAGGTGAGGTTGGACAAACGTAGTTTTAATCTCTTTTGTTTAAAAACTAAGAGTATTTCATTTCATTTTGATAAAATGTTTGAACCACCTTCATGCCCTAGAGGAGTACCTATCCCAGAGAGTTATAACATCCAGCAGTGGACTAACTGACATTGGATTACGGTCTTATGATGATTCAAAACAGATTTTGTAATACTTCTTTTGTACTTTTTAGACAATGTCATGCACAGATAGAACCGAAGATACTTACGAATCGATAGAAAGTCACTATGCTGGTAAATCGGTTCTCATTACGGGTGGCACTGGATTTTTGGGAAAGGTATTATGATACATTTTTTTTACTACCCACACACTAGGATTTTTTCATTTATCATAAAGTCGTTTTAAATAATAATTTAAAAATATTTATACAATATTTGTAGCCTATACAAATCTTCTTTCGTTTCAGCCCGCAGCGTTGCTGCTCAAATTTGTGCTACTTAGCCGTCAGACATTCTATCACAACAATCTTTACTGATTGTTTATGCTTAACTTTTACTTACGTTTTTAACACTCGTGTATTTATTATTTATATTTTATTATTTACGTAAAGTTACAGCCTATATACGTCCCGCTGAATACAGACCTCTGTACTATCTGAGAGGGTTTTAGGGTAAGGAAATCTCCGCCGTGCTGCCACAATGTGTGTTGGTTAAATTCACATATCTTTTATTGGTGACTCGGTTGTACTTTTATGTATATTTACGTATTAATGTATGTTATTTGTAATGACACATAATTTTTATATTTATCTCGTATAATGTGTCCTGCGTTATAAGAGAAAAGTGTGTGGTGGTTTGCAAGACTATGTTGAGACCAAGATCGAGAAAGGAATGGTTCGCAGTGACACGAAGAATAAATGAATATAAAGCAAGGCTAAGCAAAATGCTGAAGAAGTGAGTGGCAGAATAGGCAAGGAACACCTTAGATGGATGTTTATCGACCCAATCGGCGGTACTTTGAGGTTGGGCTATATAAAGTGTATCTAAAGTTTTCTCTGATAAAATATTGAATGTGTACCTATATATGTATGAATAATATAGTGTTTTAAATAACAGATTGTGTCCTTGTACCTTACGGTGTTTGTCCTTGCTCTTAAATTTCATTGTATGCAATCTATCGAAGTTCGATTTCTACCCACGACAAAAACATCACAAGAAAACCTCAGCGAATATTAAAGTTAAAGTTATCTCATACAACAGTAAAAAATGCTACAGAAAAGATGACTCTTTTACTAGTAATGAGACGTTCTTTCTTAGTCCTCAGGAGTAACTACGCATTTACATTTTGATTCTAATTGAGGATAGTTGTAGATGTCTATAGGCCACAGCATCATCTTCCATTAGGTGAGCTGGATGTCCGTTTGTTACATTTATTACATAAAAAAAAATATTTTATTTTTCAGGTGTTCGTCGAAAAATTATTATACAGCTGTCCAAAGATAAACACAATTTTTCTGCTATTACGAAAGAAAAATCAATCGGAAACTTCTGAGAGAATTAAGCAGCTATTGGAATCACCGGTGAGTTTTAAAACTTAAAGCAAGAAAACTTAGCGAAAATATCTCCAGTTTATATTTGGGCATTTTTTTAATTATAATACTGAACGGCCACTTCTATTAGTTCAACAAAAATGCGCTAATATATAAGTGATATAGCATTATTTACTTTGTCGTGAAAAGTATTATTAAAGCATAAAAATTCCGATACATTCTGCCTTATCCTGGCGTGCCAATTTTGACTGAATAGTTATAAGTTGCAATATATTTTCTTTAGAATAATTATTGATGAATTTTTGTTTAATAATATCAATATGCCCTAATAGTACTAATAAAAATGTCCAATTAATAATAAAATAAATGTCAAAGAATAATTACGAAGTACAATGTCACACAATCGTTTACAAAATTGTCAAAATATAAATGTTCACGTGTAAAAACAATAAAATCAATCAACCAATATGTAATTATTCTATCGAAGTCTTATTTTATTTAGTCAGAGCAAAAAATTCAAGCAATTTAGATACAGATATTAATTTTTATGATCAAGAAACTCATTAACGGTATAAAAACAATTAAGTAAGAGCCATTCATTTTGTTTGTTTTTTAACTTTGTCATTGGGAAATTTTTAAACTCGTCGGGTAAAGAATTAAAGATTTTTATCGCCATTACGTACGAGTTTTTTTGAAAGAACATCAATTTACATTTTGGAAGGTATATTCTGTTATTAGATTTTTTTCTTAAACTTATTTTTCTTAATAATTTTACTTGGGAAGTATTCCGATAATTGCTTGACAAAAATCGTGGCTTGTTTTATATACATACATGCGAGTGGGAACAATTTCATTTCTTTAAATAATGGCTTCCACGATGCCATGGAATGTGCTCCACAAATTGCTCGAATGCATTTTTTTGGATTCTAAATACGCGTTCTATTTCATGCCATGATAGGCGTTTAACGCTGCTTTGGCAGATGCTATCTCTCAAAGTCTGCGAAGCGCAAGTACAAATCTGTTTAATTTGTCACATATCGATTAAACTTGCGTTTTACAATTACAATTATTGTCAATAGTAATACCAAGAAACTTATAATAACCAGTAAGCAAACTAATTTAAATATTATTTAATTTAGTTTACTTACTTCTAATTGTGTGAAATTGCATTATTTTAGTTTTATTTATATTTACAGTCATGTTGTGAGAATGCAACCAATCAATTATATCTTTTAATGTATTATTGATATCAAATTCAAAGAGCCTTTTGTTCGTACATTTAAGAATGATCGTTGCGTCATCAGCGAAAAGAATCGTTTTTTGAGGAGTTATACGCTGTCATTTGTCATGTTTGCCTAGTTGGTTGGCGAGTTACAAATGATGGTTACATTAATGAACGATTTATTTAGTTACCTTAGCAAAAAAAAAATGATAAGAGAAAATCGTGAAAGAAGTGATAGGTTATATAGGTTATAAAGGTAGGCTAGTGGTGGTAGGTGATAGGCTAGCAGTGACTGGACAACATATCAAGCAAGTGACATAGTTGGATAAATATTTTTTTATTAATAGTCTTACGTAAACATGGGAGATATAAGTCACAGGCCTACACGGAACAATATGAGAAGTTTATAAAAATAATATAAATCTATATTTTTATCTATATTTTGTGTTTTAAACTGGTGATGTGATACTATTTTATTTCATTTTTGCCGCACCCATACAGCATATTAATTGTCCAATCTGTTAAGTATAGCCATTCACCGAGGTAATTCACCCAGTGTTCTTAGAGCGATAATATTTTTTACAGATATTTGATAGAGTTAGAAAGGAAAGACCGGAAAACTTTGAAAAGGTTGTGCCTTTGTCCGGAGATATAACTCTGTCTAACCTTGGTATAAGCCAAGAAGACGAACAAATGATTATAGAAAAGGTAATAAAAACAATTTTACAAATCTTGCCATAGTTATTACACAAAGAATTTTGTTTATAATGATGTTGTATTAACAGTACAATGAGTATGCTTGTAATAAAATCGGGTTATTATTTGAACTGATAGTAAGGTGGCTTTAATTTTTTAAGTAGTATGCCGACCCACACGCATTATATATCATTCCTTTAGCGAATGAACTATATTTTAAGCACCTTCATAAAAAGGAGGAGATACTCAATTCGACGATATTTTTAAGTGTGTTACCTCAGAACTTTTTTCTAGGTGAACCAATTTTGATGTTTCTTTTTTTATTTGAAAGCTGGTGCTTCTCATGTGGTCCCATAAAAATTTTGATTAAGATCTAACCAGTATTGTTTGAGTTATCTTTAATAATGCGTATATAATTGACCTGGACTACATTGATGATGTTCTTATTTTATTTACATTGAAGTCGGCTGTACATTATTTTTAATTATAGCACTTGTTCTTTTTAAATTGTACTGAATTTTGATCGCTAATCCAATAGATTATCTGCAGCCTAATTTCATGACCTTTGGTTCCTTATCACATCCTTATTAAACTTAAGTTAATTGCATTTTTATTAAAATATTTGTAATGCCGCCAATCTATCAGAGAGTATACTTACAGACTTGCTATTGACTTTCTTATCCACGAATAGTAATCCTTTTAAATAATGCCCAATGCCCATATACTCGAATAGAATTATTATTTTACCGATGCCTGATATTACTTATTTAATATATGTTTAAGCATCGTAGAAAATCTCGGTACTATAATACTAAACTAAAAAGGAATCTTCACAAGTCACTGGTTACACGCTTTACCATCAAGTAATCTCAAGCTTTCCCCATCAATTACTTGATGGGGAAAGCTTGCGCAACGCCGTAGGAATCCGACTAGGAGTGGCGCTTTGTCAACCCCATGAGTGTCCCTGTGGTAACAGCGTTGACAAGTTTGGGCTCCACGGACTTTCATGTAAGAAAAGGACTGGTAGGTATTCACGACACAGTTGTTTGAACGATGTCATCCGAAGGGCTCTTGTCTCTATAAATGTTCCCTCGGTTTTACAGCCTTGTGGAATATTTATAGACGATGGCAGGAGACCCGACGGTATGACATTGGTCCCTTGGGAGAGAGGTAAAGCCCTAGTGTGGGATGCTACTTGCGTAGACACTCTAGCGGCCTCTCATCTCAGGGGTACCTTACAGGCTAAAAGACAGTATTTTCCTCTGCTTATAATATTTGTGCAGGCATGCGTGTGCGTGTGTGCGTGCGTTGGTGCGTGAGAGCGCGTGCGCGTGCGCGCGCTCGCGCGCGTGTGTGTGTGTGCGCTTGCGTGTGCGTGTGTGTGTGTGTGCGTGTGTGTGTGTGCGTGCGTGCGCGCGTGTGTGTGTGTGCGCGTGCGTGTGCGTGTGTGTGTGCGTGCGTGTGTGTGTGTGTGTGCGTGCGTGCGTGTGTGTGTGTGTGTGTGTGTGTGTGTGTGTGTGTGTAGAGATATAGTAAATATCTATTTCGTTATTGATTTTATTATAAATTAAGGCCGAACGACTATTGTATTGTGTACTAGCAAACTTAGTTTTAGTTTGGGGCACTGTAGCTACATTATTTTTTCTTCTATTTCCTTTTTTACTTGAATCATAGGCTATATTTTTGTGGTTATGTAGTGTGATATGCTGTAGAGACTATTGGTCTGTGGGGTCCACGTGCGGTGAAGTTCCTAAAGGAGCTCCATCCGCGGCTGGTCATTGCTGCTGGTGATCAGAGGGCTGGTTCTTTTCTCGCTCAAAGGCTAAGTAGAGCCATTCAGCGGGGAAATGTAGCCAGCGTTCTTGGCACGATACCACGGGGAGTAGGACTATATGATTATTAAGTTTCTAGTTTTAGTTTTTTTTTATTATTATAGTTTTTGCTATTGTATCTAAATCTAATACTAAATCGCAAAATATATTTAACCTTTACTTCCAATTATTGATAAATTTTGGCTCTCTGATTAATGTACATATGTGGCTCATAAAGTTGAAATTTGTACTTTCTGTCGAATGCAAATTATACAGGGACTTGTGTTCCGCTTACTTTTAATACAAAAACAAAATATATATTTAAAGATAATGTTTTCAGGTATCTCACGTATTTCATTTTGCAGCAAACGTTAAATTTAACGAAAGTATGAAAGTAGCCATGAACACTAACGTCGAAGGTACAAGAAGACTGCTCAATTTGTGCCACCGCATGAAAAATATCGAAGTAAGGAAAATGTCAGACATATTATGAGCGGTATTTGCCATAGTTGCCAGGCTTGGCGTGCGGGTTGGCAACCGCAATTTTTTTTAATTGTAATTTCGGCTACTATCAGGAAGATGCTGCTGCCCATCTCCTGCCCGTTTCCCTTTGTCGCCTTTTACGACACCATCAGGCTGCAATTTACGAAAATCCATTATATTAAAGAAAAGCGATGCTACTTCGCTGGGGTGTGCATCAATTATCTATTTTTACGTAACACAGCTGTACATTTTGGATTTGGATAGTATTAAATCTCACCAAAAATATAGTTCACAATTTCGCCGCAAACGACGTTTGCAAATACCTCGCCGATAAAAGAGTTGAAATCTAAGCGCGCGCCAAGCATCATTGCAGTTTTAAGAATGTTGTACATTACTATAGATCCTATGATTTACACAACAAGCAAGACACTATCACAAGAATGTAGATCCAATAGCTTTTGAGTTTTGGTGGATTTAAATATGGCTCGAAATCGTTCAGTAAATATAATTACTGCTGGTGCGTCGGTTTTTTATTTTCCAAACTTGACTGATAAACTGCCATCTGTCTAGATTAACTTCGTTTCTCTTAATTATTACTCACACAAAAAACTATAGTTTGGAACTTTTACTATTTGACTAACGTAATAACTTATGCAATAATAACGTAACTGTTCACATTCACCGTTATGACTATAGTCGAAGAACAAACGTCTTGCGTCTTTCTTTTCTTCGTCGCTGGTGTAGATTTTTGTCAATTGAAACTAATTTCTATGGATTTTATCTCGTTTAATTTTAACTTTTTAATTTCCGACGTTTCGGGTGCTTTACAGCACCCATGGTCACGGGGAGGGGGGCTGAGGTGTTTGACCTCCCGATGTCATAGTTAGCCCTTGGATCCTTGGATATTCAATTGCTGTAATGTTGCTGTAAAGCATCCGAAACGTCGGGAATTAAAAAGTTAAAATTAAACGCGATAAAATCCGTAAAAATTACTTTAAATTAATGTGTAGTCTTCGCGTAAATATAAGAAATCATTAGATTTTTGTCATTTATAATTGATAAATTGAAATTACATGGAGGTCTATTCAGCAAAAGAGCCGTGGTTAGCGCTGGTTTTAAATTTCACACTACGCGCGAGCAGCCCGAGTTTGATCCCCGCCGGCACCAATGAAATTGTTAATTGCAATTTTATATGCTGATTTACCACGTACTCGGCGGTGAAGAAAACATCGTGAGAAATCCTGCATGTTTGAGAAATAAGAAAAAAAAATTCGGACTCATCTAAAGTTTGTCAACACGCATTGGGGCAGGGCTCGGGCCATTTCCTCACCCTGAAGCCCTCTCAGAAATGAGAGGTAGCCTATGCCCAGTAGTGGAACATATATAGGCTATAACTTTAACTTTAACTACTCGTATTCAGCTTAATAAATTGAATAAATTTCCTTGATTCCTAAAGGTCTAACCACACCAGACTCTTCATTAGTAATAGTGTTTGGAATACACAGCGTTTTATCAATAATCACTATTCGTTCTGAAATATTATAATCGACTCGTTAACATTCTCATCCCCTGTGTTCACTGTTTTATTAAACAGTGTGTTAATTAAGTACGTCACGTGCAGCACGTCAATGTTGTTTTTAATTATAATTTGACTTCAAATTGCAATAAGATAATTTCAATGTTTAACTGAGATTTAATGATAAAATAAATAAAGTATTTTTTTCTTACAAAAACCTAAACACATTTAAGTGCTGATTTATCACGTGTTTGGCGGTGAAGGAAAATATCGTAAGGAAACCTGCATGTCTAAGAAATAAAAAAAAATTCAAAGACATATGCATTGGGGTAGCGCGGCGGACATATCCTTGCCGTAAAACCGTCTCAGAAATGAAAGGAGGCCTGTGTCCAGCTGTGGGATGTATAAAGGCTGTAACCTTACTTTACTTTAATAAACACATTGCGATAATATTTTTAAGGTTTTCGTGTACGTATCTACGGCTTACTCAAACACAGATAAGCCAGTTCTGGAAGAAATTGTATACCCACCCCCTGCTTCTATTGATGAAGTATACGATATTCTTGAGCAGGAAGTATCGGAAGTGTCCCATGAAGATAAATTAAAAAAACTTATATGTAAGCAAAATTATATTTTTAATTTACATAAAATTTCTTAACTTTCTGAATGCTTTCAATACTCATATACATTTGTGAAACAATATTTAGTTGAGCAAGCCGATAGTACATGGATTCTGTAGCCCATAGGTACATTTCACATCGAAGATGAAGTGTCTTATTACCAGTAAAATGGGTTTTCGGTTCTCGTCACTTACCAGAGGAAACACCACAGCACCATGTCGATATTTTGTGGAACTTTTAGTCGAGCCTACCCATATACATAAGCTGCAGTTTTTCTTTAGCTCGTTTAAATTAGTTCATTTATTTATTATAATTTAATATTCAATATTTTTCTTTTTATTTAACGATTTCTTATATTTTTAATGGCTCTTGAAGTTTTATTTTTTAAATATTAAGAATAACTTACAAAATAAAAAAAATATTGAAGAAAAGGAGTTTCTAAAAAACAGTGTTTTGGTGTTATTTCAGGTGGCAGACCAAATACTTACACCTTTGCTAAAGCACTTGCAGAGAGTCTCGTAAGTCAAGAACATGGTGATGTTCCTACGATAATCATCAGACCATCTATTGGTTTGTAATATCGATTCATAAGAAAAATATTTCTACTTACATCATAGAAGTAGTATATCAAAAAAACGTACCATTCTAATTTATTTGATAGTGGCTAGCTACTCGTAAACATCATTTTAAAGACAAAAATAAAAATATAAATAAATAAATTTATAAACACGTAGTTGTGTTTATTTTATATATATATATATATATATATATATATATATATATATATATATATATATATATATATATATATATATATATAATATACACAGCTACGTGTTACCACATATGTGTGTGTGTGTGTGTGTGTGTGTATGTGTGTGTGTGTGTGTGTGTGTGTGTGTGTGTGTGTGTAGTAGTAGTTAAGTAATTGTACAAATAATACGACTTTTTTGCCTGTTACCGTCTAGCAAATGCTGTTTTAACCGGAGCACTTGGAGCTACGTTAGTTTTTCTCCTTTTATTTTTGAATTTATCATTAAAAGGAATGTTATGTTATTCTTGTAACTACAAGTATTGTATGTTAATTACGTATGTTAATTAAGGAAGAGCGAGTTTTCCTGTCACAAGTATTGATAAATACTTTAAAGGAGAACTCTGTGTACTGTTAATGATTTAAATTTCATATATATGAAAGATGAAGTCATCTTTTTGTTAATTTAATGTGGAAGACCTCTTTTTGCTGCAGCAACCTGAAAAATGTTTATAGGACTTCTATTCAGACACGCTACTAGATTTAGTCCAGTGAACAGTGCGGATGCAACTCGTTTTATTGTACGCGTGGGCTTATACTTTTGCAGAAGTAAACGTATGGATACTCCCCTTCGATTCTCCGATGGCGCTTGTTGCTCTATAGCCTGAATCAATATTTTTGTAATAATATATAATAAGAACACAATGACATTTATATATTAGAGCCAATATGTAATGGTAATGGCGCAAGGTAATAAAATTGTCTTTTGGCAAAAACACTGTATCTTCTAGGTACTCTTATTTTATTTCTTCTATTATGTTTTTTTTTAAAGTCAATTTGATTTGGTGCAGAGAATGAACATTATCATGAAATCTTGTAGTAAAATGCTTGGATTAATTTTTTATTTTATTGACCATAGAAGATTGGTAGTTCAGGTGAAAAGCGCTAATTATAAATTTCACAACACGCGTGCAACCTGGAATCGTCACTAATGAATGTTTGAATATTAATTTGACGTATTCTTAAATATTTCGAGGACCACCAAGATGCAGTGAAACTGCCCTTTAACTATTTCTGCCGCCAAAAATAAGCAGGTTTGTTTTTGTTCCGGTGTAACGGGTATAAACAGTGACGGTCCTCGGAGGTGACAGCCTACCTGTAGCCTTCTTTTTTAATTGAAGTTGGTTGCAGATGTATACGGGTTGCAGTGGCTACTTACCATCGGGTGGTTTGTAAATTCGTTTGTCACTCACATAAGTTTCATAAAACAAACATGACTATACGGAGTTAGTAAATTACTATATTTTCAATTCCAGTATCAGCAAGCATGCGTGAACCACTAACGGGATGGCTGGATAATTGGTTCGGTGCAACAGCCCTTATCGCCACCATTGCTAAGGGTCTTGTTCGTATTGTACTTAGTAAGAACACTAACATTTTGGACCTAATTCCTGTTGACTATGTATCCAACCTCACTGTTGCGGCAGCTGCTAAATGCAAAAGGTACTATACCATGTTTTTTTAAAGTTTTGTAAATACCACGAAAAGGTTATATATATATATATATATATATATTAATATTTAATTATCTGACAAATTAAAAAATATAATAGCATTAGACTACCTCCCATCAGTCTGAAAACAGTCCACTGCTCTAAGTACACCTGGATTTGCTGTAACCTTGAATGAGGCTCAGTTAGTAGGAATGATGGTAACTGAGATTACCGAAAACTTCCGAATTAAGGCTTCCACAAATTTTTCTGCCACCAGGACAACACCTCTTTGGTACGAAATAAAATATTTTACAAATTTCATGGCAGAGAAGTTAAATTATATATAAATATTCTGAAAAGCCGAAGATTTATATTTTAAAGAGAAATAAACAATATTACATAATTAAAAACACACCACATTGCAGTAAAAACAGAAAACTTCTATTGCGAACGCAAACTTTCAATTATGATGTCACCACAGTATTAATATACATACATACAGTAAGAAATCCACATATATACAATAAATGAAACCACAAGTAATACTAGTGCATAGAAGTTAGGGTTTGGGTCCCGGGACGTCTCGTGTCTCGAAGTCCCGGGACTTTTCGTAATTTTAGTTGTCTCGAGTCCCGGGACTTTCAGGTCGAGACTCGAGACGAGACAAGATTGTCGAAATTGTTATGTAATCATTTTTATTTTCAAATAATTTTAGGAGCCTATCGCCATGTGTTAGTTTGATGAACAATTACTTGGTCTACTACGTAACTACTGAGTACGCAACACAATAAATGAAACAAATATGTGATTATGAGAATTAACAATGAGGAGAACTATGATTACATATAGATACTAGAATTACTAGATAATAAGTAAAGTTATTAAGAATTAGTATGATTTTTAACTAAGTTCGTTTCATAACAATATATAATGATCACAGACTAACTAGTAGATTCTAACCGAATGTAATGATTCACAATAATTTATACGAAAAACTAGGCGAAAAACAAAACCTAATTTCAAACTCAAATTCAATATTTAGCAGGAAGACAAAATCAGCAGGAGACACACACACACACACACATACACACACACACACACACATAAACACGCACGCACGCACGCACGCACGCACACACACACACACACACACACACATACACACACACACACACACACACACACACACACACACACAAACCGAATCCATAAACACATGCATGCACCAACACAAGCACGAACGAGAGCAATCACGCACGCACGAACATACACCACACACATACACATATTTACAGCATGCGGGAAACATTTTTAAATATCATTAATTTTCAGATCAAGAGAAATAACTGTCTACAACTGTTGTACTAGTGATGCAAATCCATTCACAGTTGGATTACTTGGGAAGCTTATTGCTGAAGACAGCGTGAAACACAATTTTCGTAAGTATGGAAGAAAAACGGTAATCAAAACAAATATGAAAAATAATGAAGCGATAAACATAAAATCGCCAATTAAAACGACATTCAATAAGGATAGTTATGGGTAGGTCATTAATGCGATGATATTGGTATTGAACTCTCTTGCACTATCACTTACACGGTATCAAATAGGATATACATAGGTCACTCAATAAGTTTTGAGATATACAAAAAGTGTTCTAGATACTATTAATATTTATTTTGGATCTTTTCAAAATATTCTCCGTCATGCTCTATACAAAGTTCCATTCGCCTAAACCGACTCTGCCAGTTTTCGGAGATCGCTACTACGTGGGCAGTCACGGCTTCTTCAGCGCTTGAAAAAAAATTTGCCTTTTATTTTTTCTTTGACTCTTGGTAACAAAAAGAAATCACAAGTAGCTAAGTCAGGGCTGTAGGGTGGGTGACTTAAGAGTTTCAACACCAGATTCCTCAATAAATGCTTTTGTTCAATGGAGATATGTGAAGAGGCGTTATCGTGATGCAGCATGATTCCCCGAAGCCCGGTATTTGATCTTCTCTCCCGCACAGCTTGAAAATTTTTGGTAATGGAACTGTAGTATACCATTCAGAGTTGACTGATCTACAATTTTCCAGCATTGACGTCGACAAATTTCCGCACCGCGAAAAAAACTAGCCATCATTTTTTTGCAGGTCTTTGCTGTTTTGTCGGTAGCTGTCCTTCTGAGCAGACCCATACCGATGATGGCCTTTCATTTTCCGGATCATATTGATAGATCCATGTCTCGTCACCAGTAACGATTTCTGAAACACGCCTAGATGCCCCGTTTTCAAAACGTAGACGCATTTCATCCACACGAGTCTATGTTTCGCTTTCGCAGAGCATACGAGAGATCCATCGACAACAAAGCTTCCTCACTCCAAGATGTTGATGTAGGATGGTATGAATGCTCCCCGAACTAATGCCTACAATCTTTTCGAAGTGGAAGAATCAAAATGCAGATGGGTTGTCACCCCTGATAATGCCTCTTTTCCAGTAAAAATTGTCTACCGGTTTCTACGCTGACGATATTAAACACAGTTGTATTAAGCTGCTATTTTATGCAAGTATTCTGTGAGAGCGTGGTCCAACCCCAGTCGAGCCAACACATTCGTGCTACAACCATAATACAGATGAAGCGTGACTATACCATACCATTGTTGTATGTCTTAATGGCTTGCAAATAACCTCTTGTCCGATAAAAGGCAGTTATTTCGCTAATCTTCTTCGTGACCCAAATAATGCCACAAAGTGCGGTCCTAAGCCACCTGCATTCATGGATTTCTTGCATGTCTTAGCATGTCGTCACTCCATCTAGTTGGATGATGAGGCTATCTACACTTCACTTACCGGTACGAGGTTGCCACTCGAGAACGTTTCTTCCCCATGGGCTCTCGATTCTTTAAACTATATGGCCGGCTTTTACTTATATGTATCTAAGAAATTATAATTGATTAAATGTTTTCAGATGATATAATTCGCCCAACATTGTTTTGCACAAATTCAGAATGGTTGCTAATTTTTTTTACACTGATCTTGCAAACAATACCAGCTTTTGTTGCTGATTGTTGGCTACGTTTAATGGGTAGACCACCCAGGTATGTATTTTTCGGTTTTATTTAATAGTACTTTACTACTTACACTACACTATTTACACGTGGTAGAGCCATGTTGCAGCTATATTAGTTGTATAGTTGTAGCACGAATAGGTCGGCTCGACCGGGAAATGACCACGCTCTCACAGAATACCAGCGTCAAATAGCAGCTTCATGTGTTTCGTATGGTGAGTGTAAAGAACCGGAGAGCCTTTTTACTGGAAAAGAGGCATTCCATCTTGGTTTTAACGGTGACAACGCATCTGCATTTTGATTCGCAAACGAGGATAAATGTAGATATTTATGGGCCACAGCAACCACTTACCATCAGGTGGACTGTGTGCTCGTTTGTCACCCTATCCTATAAAAAAAGTACTATATCGATTTTTAACAGAATAAGGACAAACGAGTACATAGTCCACCTGAATATTTTTGGTTTTTCATACCATAACGAATCCACTGTTAATCTATGATTTTAATACCATAAAGAATGTCATCAGTAATTTGTAAAAGTGTCGTAATCGTATATACTATGACACAGATTGAAGCAAAGGTTTGAAAAAGTAAAGACTTTACGTGATATAGTCATGATGCATGAATGCATGCAATTAAGAATGAGGCGGCTCAACGTTGGAAAGACCACGCTCTCTACTGCGTTTTGTATGGTGAATATAGTGGTAACAACGCATCATATCCACATATTCACGTGACATTAAGTAGAATGATTGCTGCTCATTTGTTAAACTTATATCCATAAAAAGAAATCTCAACATAATTTTAAATGACTCAAAAAAATTTGATATTGTCAACAGGTTTATGAAGATGCAAAGAAAGATACTACAGACACGTAGTGCTCTACAGTACTTTTCCTCACGTTCCTGGCAAATGAAGTGCCAACGCACTCGTGATCTGTTTGCTTCACTGTCGTTTTCAGATCGCCTCGAGTTTCCTTTTGATCCAACACATATTAAATGGGAAACGTATATGCCAATCTATTGTATGGGCATCCGAAAGTTTTTATTCAAATTATCCTAATACGAGATTTGAGGTGTCGTTTCGTTGACTGCATTAATTTTAAACAAATGTTCTGTTTTTCTTTTGGATATTTATTGTATATAATATTTCTATATTTAACAACGGCGACCGGCTACGAGCACAGCATATTATGCAAATCATTTGCGCTTTGTGACACGACTTTTAATATATAAACTGCAGGGAAGAAATCACAATGTTCATTTAACAACTGGTGTTACGTCTTCTTTTTTCATCAGCCCTTAGATATCCGAAGGACAAGGGTCTCACTTTTACAGGGTGATTTATCTTGGAAAGCACATCTAACATATAATATTGTCTTTTTAATAATAATTATTATTATAAATAACAAATATCTTTATTTGATACTGATATTTCATTACAACATCATTGAACCTTGACTCCCAAACTAGGATTATTACGAACTTCATACTTTGTTAACAAGTGCATTATTATTATTATATAACATTAGCATACAATAATTTTTGACATCTTATCATTAATTATAATGACATTGTAAAAAAGCTAAGAATTATTTATTTTGCTATTTCTACGCCGGTACCGGTAACACTTGTTAATGATCCAACGAGTTATAATGCAACACCTTGTCTCTGAAATAAATAAATAAGGGCACGACTTTGGTAATAAATACGCAAAATATGAAGGTTAGATGTTGACCAGGACCAATAAAAATTTTATTTGCAATTTTATCTGTTGATCAGAAACATTGCGAGCAAACGTGTATGTGTAATAAATTGAAAAAAAAATGTAAGTCTGTCAATCATGATAAGGGAACAATGATTTTTTTGCACAACAAAATATTCTCAGAAATTAAAAGTCACTTGTGACTGGAAACAGAACCCTTAGACGGGGATTCGTAGAATAATGCTTATACCATTTGCATGAGTGAATGAAATGAAATATATTTTTTCTTCGATCTAAGAAAATAAATTTAGTTTACCAAATATCATTTCTTTGAACCTAGTAAATCATTACATTGAGGCAACAAAATTAAAACGGTATCCAATAAAAATTAAAAAGACTTGGATTATAACGAATAGTGTAACGTTTAATCTAATAGAACGCAAACAGTTGTTATGAATATAGGAATTCTATTGGATCGGTGGTATCTATGGGTGTATCTCAAGGCTCAAATCACTTTCCTCTTCTTAGTTTATGTATAAAGTTAAAAAACTGCAAATAATTGTTGATACTTCGATGATTATTCGAATTAAATGCAATAATTAAAATATGATACAGTGAATAACGCTACTCGTATATCAATAGTAGTACACTGGTTTAATGTCAATAATTTGCTTTTAAACGGTAATTAAGTGAAATTTATTAACTGTAAAACACCATAATATGTTAAACAGGTGAATACCAGTATTGTGAAATCCACTGTTTATCTCTGAATTTCAAGTGACGCGAAGCTTTAATGAGGCCCTCGTATATCTAAACTAGCCAGCAAACTTATTTCTGCAGCACATGCTGTAAAAAAAGATAAGCGGCCTCACATGTGTTGAAACAGCTAAATTAGTTTATTGTAGTTATTTTCATAGCTAAATGGGGTAATGTGAAACTGTTTTTGTTTAACAGAAGATAGCATTTACAACCTAGGTCCGAAGGAATCTCTGAAAGAAAAATTTAAAGAAATAAATAACTTTGGCCTCTAAATTTATTAACAAAATATCAATATATGTACACAAAAATAAAAATTGGTTTTATTAAAATAGTGATATACATTCTGTTAATAGTAGGAACAAGCACAAGTTAGTAAATACCAGTTACTCTGGTATAATTAACTTCATGGGGCAATGACGACAAAGTCCCAGAAAATATGCAGTCTTTATCTATTAAAAAGCTTAAAATTTGATTGAAGCAATTTTGTTTAGTAAGGGTTATTATACTAGTAAAAAGTACATGATTGATAATAACTCCTGCCAATGAGGTAATCGCTACCATGCTGTTTCTAAATGTTATCACACTAAATGTATTATATTGTAAATAATTTCATATAAAAAGTTCTGCTGAGTTTCATGCTGGTTCTTTCCAGGACAGAAGTATTTCCGAACCAGTGATAAAACTAAAAAATTACTTTCAATATGTAAAAATTACATGTAATCTATATTGAATAAAAATGATTAAATTCTATTCTATTTTGTTGTGTAGTAATTGTTTTGTAACTTATTTTTGTTTTGATTATTCAATTTATTAATTTTTTATTTTAATATATATATATTAAAATAGTAATATATATATTACTATTTTAATATAGCTAGTAATATATATATATATATATATATATATATATATTACTAGCTTTTACCCGCGGCTTCTTTCGCATGGTCTTCAATATAGAAACATCATTAAATGCTATTCCGTGCCGTAAATTCGATCACTTGAGTCACTTTGGAGTCAGTGTCTCTATGTCAGTTTGTCAAAGAAAATTTTGAATGCCCAAAGGCTTTTGGACCTCGATTATTGATATTTGGCATATATATATATATATATATATATATACTATACTACAGGAACACGTGAATAAATAAGTTTTTTAGAATTGTGTTAATATCATATGCCACATAAAAAAAATTAGATGTTTCTACATCAAATTTTTTTTTATAGGAGAGGGGGCAAACGAGCATGCGGCTCACCTGATGGTAAGTGACTACCGACGCCCATGAACAACTGCAACACCAGGGAGGGTATTGCAGATACGTTGCCAGCCTTTTAAAAAGGATTAGGCTCTTTTCTTGAAGGTCCCTAAGTCGTATCGATCCGGAAAAATCGCTGATAGTAATTGATTCCACAAGCATGTCGTGCGAGGAAGAAAACATCTTCTAAATCGCACAGTGGTGGACCGCCAATCATCCAGATGGTGTGGATGGTATCGGGAATTCTGCTGCAATGTGCGTTCGTGAAATTTGGCGGCTGGGATTAATCCGAACAATTCCTCAGAGCACTCCCCGTGGTAGATGCGAAAGAAAATGCAAAGGGATGCAACATCTCTTCGCAGTGCCGATGAATCGAGCCAATCGGAAAGGACTCGGTCGTCGACGTCGTAGCTATACCAAACAAAAGTGCCAAACATCTAAATTGTCTATATTGGTGTCTTGCGATGTATCCATAAGGAAGATAAATTGTCTTTGAATCAAAATGTGCTATTATTATTTACTCTTTATATACATTCCTAATTAAAGTCAATTTAGTTTTCACAAAATAGTGATGACTTCATGGTCTTATATGCGATATTTGATTCACATCATTGGTCCCATTTTATATTAATTGGCACCATAAAATAGTTTCTGATATTTTTTCTAAGTTCGAGTAGACTTCAAAATTTCATAAATGCAGTTCTATAATGTGTTCTACACATGTAATAAAAATGTTTTAATAAATCACTTAACTTTTATTTAACCGGGTTGTACAAATCTCATCTTTGGAAAAAGTTCCATGAAAATTGGTGTTAAAAAACATATTGCTCATGTGAGGCACCGACGCTCCGGGAAGTCTCAAGTATGTCAAAATATTCAGTATCGTCCCAACCTTTGTAAAGATCTGATAGAGAATAAATCTTCGCAATAGAACACCGATTCCTGCCAAAGATGATTCGCGTGGCTATTGAAATTAAAAACATCCTCACTTCAATAACGAAGATGGCTGTGTGCTACCATCTACTTAGGATCCCATAATTAATAAAATTAAATACAAACCCAAACATGTTAAAATTACACGATACAATCTGTAACATTACTTGAAAACGAAGTTCTATTCGCAGTGAACATAGGTAGAACTACATGATTGCATTTTACCGTCTAAAATCTACATACAGTCGACTTAGTTTACACTTAGTCTCAGTCAGTTATCGAAGTAATCAATTAAATAAGTCAGTCAAGTTAGAAATCATTCATACACCTTTAGTCCACTTGCTATCTCTGCGCTGTCCCTTTAATTAAATTTATACCTAAATTGTAAAAAAACTACGAATTATTTATTGTGCTTTTTCCACGCCAATACTGGTAACTTATGTTAATAATCCTAAAAGTTATAATTCAACAACTTATTGTACCATGTCTCTGAAATAAAAAAAATCTAAAAATAAGAGCATGACTTTGGTAATAAATGCGCAAGTTATCGAAGATAAATTTTCACCAGGACTAATAAAAAATTTAATTGCAATTTAACTGCTACCCAGAAACATTGCGAGCAAATATGGTTGTTTAATAAATTGAAAAAAAATCAAATAAAATTTAAGTCCGTCTATAAATATAGGTGAACAGGTACAGGCCTTCACCTCACGCCCTGCAGCAGAGATAAACCAATTATTGACCTTCTATTCACAGAACAATACTACACCACGTTGGGTTCGGGAACAACGAGGTGGGCCGGAACCTGCTCCTTTCTCAAAAGAAAGGGTTGACGACTAAGATTACGGGTCCGTAAGGTATAGTCCCGCCGGTCTTGACATCAGTCATTTAGTGGACTGTATCTTCCTATTTTTCCCTACTATTAGGGTAAACACAGGATCTTGAAATGTAACATCGGTTATCCTAATTAAAATCCCCCTTTGAAAATGCAATATTGAAAATTTCACTACTTTCCCACTATCACTAATTGACTTTCTTTCTTGATTTAAAACTGGAGACGGTAGCTGGCTGATTGTAGCTCCCGAACGAATTGCAAATATATCAGCCTCCTCTTGTACTACGAAAGCTATACCAAAAAAAAAAACGCCAAACGCCATTTCGACATAAACTAATCACTAATTTTCGCTACCACATTTTCATTTACGAACCCATAACTTTATTACCCATCATACTATCATTACACAATTACATTTCACTTATAATAAAACAATGGAATTTTAAATTGATAACTAAAACATTAATGTCACACAAAAGAATAAAATAATTATCAAAATACAGGAACTTTACAAGTTATTTTCAGACCTAAATCTTAAATACCCAATGTACATACTTGAAACGTTGGCTTTTATCAAA